AAATTATATCGCTTTTTATCTATAAAATAATTGTTTTTACAGCTCTGAATTCGTTAATAAATTACATAAATAAATATGTTATTATTCTTTTGTCCAAGCGTCAACTTCAATAACGTTATTAAGATTGTTAATTCAGATGATTATTTCTTATCTCAGCGCCATTTTCTATAAAAATATGAACATTAGTAATGAGATTATGAAATTCATCACATATTATTTTAGAATATAAACAACAATGTAATTATATTAATTTAACTGAAAATTAACATCAATATGGCAACGGTAACCATGGTAACGGTTGATTAGCGTAGGTGGTTGTGGGGGGTAGGGTGGGGTTGAGTTCTATAATTGATGGGTGTCACTGATGGTTTCTTAGATTGGCGAATCAAAATGATATTTTCGCCTTAAAAAAAGAGAGAGAGAGATAAGGAAGGGGGAAGAAGGCACGGGCGATAGGGCACGTGAAGGGGTGAGGAAGAATGAGAGGGAGGGGAGGGGGTAGCATACGTGATGGTTGACAAAAAATCCGTTTTGGCTAGGAATTTCGTAAAATCCCTTAATATCTCTCGTCTACGTTAAAAAAGGAGTACCTATGCTAAATTTTAAATGAATCGGTCCAATAGTTTCAGAGATCTAGTGATGGTTGTTTATTCTCCTCATATTATATTCTCCTCATCAATCCTTTCCTACCAAAAATATCCTGTTACGTGAATTTTTGAACGCTTCACGTAATAATTATCCGGAACTCCTATTCTTTCCCGGTTCACAGCATTATTTATATTTGTTAAAATATATTAGCTTATATTTTAGATTATTAGATAGCTCGGACTGGGATTCGAACCCAGAACTTTCCGAAGACATGTCGGCTACTCTACTATTTGAGCTATCCGGTCTATACTAAATTTCCTTTCGCTTATTCTATATACATTAAGCCACATCGTCCATCTTACGGCTAGCATTTTTAAATATAAATAATGCTGTGAAGCGGGAAAGAATTGGAGTTACGGATAATTATTACGTGAAGCGTCCCAACATTCATGTAACAGGATAATTGGTAGGAAAGGATTGTGAAAGGATTGTGGAGAGGATCATCTTAATGTGAGTGTATAGATATATGCGAGAAAAAATTATTAGATAGCTCGGACTTGGATTCGAACCCAGAACCTTCCGAAGACATGTCGGCTACTCTACCATTTGAGCTATCCGGTCTATACTAATACACATGACGTGAGAATTACGTATAACTTAACAAAACGATTTTTTGAACTCCGCCGTCCATCTTACGGCAACAAATAAACATCTTATTTATGAAATAACTATTTCTATACTAAATACACATTTTGTATCCTCTTGATTTTCTGAAAGTACAGTTTCTGACGAACAGAAACGTACTACAGATGTAGATTTACAAGCATGTTTGCACAACAATCACATGCTTGTAAAGGTGGACCATTTCATGAACGCTGCAGTCTGTAATTATTACTGTGTTTTTTTTTTTTTTTTTTTTTCTATCTAATAATTTGTGATAATTATTAGTGAGAAGGATCTACTAATTATCCCGGCTATCCGGGATCATGTACTGGTAGATGAGCAGTTACTAGCGCTCTTACCTTATTGAAATTAATTTTCGATAATATTTGTATATATTATAAAAAGATCATTAATTGAGCGTAAAATTTTGTACCCGGATAGCCACCTTAACCGAAAGTTTACTCAAAGTTGATCGCCAACTTGACTATTATAATACAGCCGGTCCCTACGATCGCAGCTTCCCAGTTATTAATAGTTTTTTTCTAGATAATAAAGAAGAATTCTGAAGAAAACGCTCCGCTACATAATCGATTTTTCAATTGTCTTTTTCGTAGCAGAACATTTTTTTTCGAAATTCTCATTTTTTTAAAAGAAAAACATAAAACTGCAATAGCTTTATAATCATGAATGCAACAAGGATATATCCTTGTTCGCATTCACTGCGAAAAGTGGTACTATATAGTACCACTTTTCGCAGTGAATGCGACGCTAGAAAAAGAGGAGACCGGCTGTTAACAATCTACGGCTGCATTCTGACGACAACTTGACAGTAAGAGTTGGAGAACAAGGATTACCGCTAACTTTCCTTTATATGTATATACTTTTCATATATACTTTTTACCAATACAGCATTTTGCAGAAATTTGTCAAACAACCCTGATAGCCACGCTTTGATTAAAAGTAGTTGGATTTCAGCAGTTACAGTTAACTTGACATCAAGTTCGCCGTAAATTTTTACAGTACAACAGTTGTAAACAAATTGACTAAAATCTACAGCCCCACTTTGAATATAAGTTAACACCGAACTTTTGGTTAAATTGTACTACAATTTTACTACAAAACTAGAATAAAATACTTGGGCTGCAAGTCTTGACGTCGAATTGCAGTGTAACTTGTAGACAACTCAAGTAAAATCGTTTGGTTTGCAACTTTTTTCATCAAGTTGGCTACAAATTGCGGACGTAGATTGACAGTAAGTTATAGGTAAGGTGGCTATCATGATAGCCACCTTAACTCAAACTTTTATTCATAAATCAGAATAAAAATAAAACTTTTATTCATTTATCTATAGATTGAATAAAAGTTTGAGTTAACAGGGGAGCTAAATTATTTTTTCATCAGCGCACTCTACAATTATTTTACAACATTTGTATCGGTAACTTAGAGTGTCACTTTATTGATAATAACAGGAATTTCAAATACTGGCTGTCACTAAGAAATATGTATATTTCAAATATGAAAAGGCTTCAAATCTAAAAGAAATTTTAGAAATACACAACGATTATGATAATTGAGATATAATGAAGATAAAAAAAAATGAGAACATGTTTCGCTAAAAGCAAAAACATGTAAGATAATTGATTAGAAAATACGTTTTATTTCTGCATAAAAAAGGTAATATTTATTAGAAGTTATAAATGAAATATATTTGCTTTTTTTTCTAGTTCAAACTATTCAACTATAAAAACAATTAAGACCAGAGTATTCGTTTAATTTATAATGAAAAAAGAAATAATAGGCTGTTCTCAAAGTATCAAATTTTTTTTAACTTCCCGCTAAAAAAATCGAAGATTTTTAAAAATCAGGAAGTTATTTTTGAATGATTTTAAAGTTGAATTTTTTTTTTGCAAATTGTAAAAACCTTCTTTAATATTGTAAATAAAATGAATAATCATAAATAATTTTTAAATGTTCAGTTAAATTTACTGGCTTTTCATTAATGTCTCGTACCATCCCAGATAGCAATATGACGTCTTTTACAGAAAGCAAACTTCAATACATAATAACTTAATAACTTAAACTGATACATGCAACTGAACTATGATGTCTCGCTAATTCAAAACATTCTAATGAGAATGGGTCATCGATCCGGTGTAAATATTTCTGGTCGTCGTCCGTTGTCCATAATCCTGCATCCATAATATTGTCATGTATGTTAGTATCATAATAAACATGATAATTATAATCATATAAGTCTTGTAGGGTTTCTATGTTTCGGTACGACGGTTTTGTTAATAAAGCAAAAACTTGTCCTTGAAGTACTGGAGAAAATACAAATCCAAAAATATAAACGCTAAGATAAAGGTAATGCGCATAACTAATTTTTGAATAGGTAAATGTACTGCCATGTCTATAATAATAATAATAATAATAATAACAATAATAATAATAATAATAACCGATAGACATCCACAATAGCCGCAAGAAATTGATATTCATTTACCAATGCAATTAAAGTGATAATTAATAGTAATATTGAAATTGCAAATATACTGGTATAAGGATCAATTACAGAGTCGATTTCAATAAATGTTGAAATGATGTATCTACTTTTAGTAGCTATTGCAAATCTTAATTCGTCATATGAAGGAATGGCATTTTCTATATTATTGTCAATCCTTTTAAGAGCATTTGGGGTCCAAGTATAATCATTAATTTTTGGAATTGTAAATCGTAATCTATACGAGTGGTGAGATTTAAATTATTAAACATGGTTGAATGAAGCTGAAAAGAAATGTTTGCATAAGCAGAAATTCTAACCGGATAACCGTTCAACAATTTTGATTTGTCAAATTGGAGAAGACGACACATATCGTTATCTGAAATAAATAAGAAAATATTTTTTTTTAATCAAAGCTTATCAATAAAATAAAAAATAATAAAACCAAAAAAAATAATAAAATAAAAAATAAATGATAATCCCATTACCTTGTGTTAATCGAAGATTGTATGAAGTCCATCGAGGATCTGGTTTATTAGTTACTTCTACTTCTTTCCATGGGTGTGGTGCGTAGTTTGTAAATGGGTTGAACGTGTATACCATAATGTAGTTTTGACTCCTGAGGCACAAATAGAATGACGATAATAAATCCATTGTCCATAACAACTCTAAAAATTGAGAAGCCTGCCGAAGACAAGATTTTTCAGAGGTTCTAAGGTTCCAACTATAAAAGTCTCAGATTTTGAACTCCAAGAGGAAAAAGATTTGAGTTTTATTTTGAGAAGAGATTCAAGTTTTTCGGTAGTATCACCCACCAGAAGATATTTAGGATAGGAATTGTGAAGAAAAATGACATTTTTAAACTCCAAGTTTGTGTCAAATCACCACAATTGGAGTTTCAATAGCTTTGATTAATGTTGGATAAAATAATTCAAATAATTCCGAGCTGATGAATATTGGATTTAACTGCCCTGTTGAAAAACTTCCATAGGATCCCATCAAAAGCGACAAAAGCAACTTAGAAACCAATAAAATGTATTGGTTTCTAAGTGGCTTTTGTCGCTTTTGATGGGATCCTATGGAAGTTTTTCAACAGGGCAGTTAAATCCAATATTCATCAGCTCGGAATTATTTGAATTATTTTATCCAACATTAATCAAAGCTATTGAAACTCCAATTGTGGTGATTTGACACAAACTTGGAGTTTAAAAATGTCATTTTTCTTCACAATTCCTATCCTAAATATCTTCTGGTGGGTGATACTACCGAAAAACTTGAATCTCTTCTCAAAATAAAACTCAAATCTTTTTCCTCTTGGAGTTCAAAATCTGAGACTTTTATAGTTGGAACCTTAGAACCTCTGAAAAATCTTGTCTTCGGCAGGCTTCTCAATTTTTAGAGTTGTTATGGACAATGGATTTATTATCGTCATTCTATTTGTGCCTCAGGAGTCAAAACTACATTATGGTATACACGTTCAACCCATTTACAAACTACGCACCACACCCATGGAAAGAAGTAGAAGTAACTAATAAACCAGATCCTCGATGGACTTCATACAATCTTCGATTAACACAAGGTAATGGGATTATCATTTATTTTTTATTTTATTATTTTTTTTGGTTTTATTATTTTTTATTTTATTGATAAGCTTTGATTAAAAAAAAATATTTTCTTATTTATTTCAGATAACGATATGTGTCGTCTTCTCCAATTTGACAAATCAAAATTGTTGAACGGTTATCCGGTTAGAATTTCTGCTTATGCAAACATTTCTTTTCAGCTTCATTCAACCATGTTTAATAATTTAAATCTCACCACTCGTATAGATTACGATTTACAATTCCAAAAATTAATGATTATACTTGGACCCCAAATGCTCTTAAAAGGATTGACAATAATATAGAAAATGCCATTCCTTCATATGACGAATTAAGATTTGCAATAGCTACTAAAAGTAGATACATCATTTCAACATTTATTGAAATCGACTCTGTAATTGATCCTTATACCAGTATATTTGCAATTTCAATATTACTATTAATTATCACTTTAATTGCATTGGTAAATGAATATCAATTTCTTGCGGCTATTGTGGATGTCTATCGGTTATTATTATTATTATTATTGTTATTATTATTATTATTATTATTATAGACATGGCAGTACATTTACCTATTCAAAAATTAGTTATGCGCATTACCTTTATCTTAGCGTTTATATTTTTGGATTTGTATTTTCTCCAGTACTTCAAGGACAAGTTTTTGCTTTATTAACAAAACCGTCGTACCGAAACATAGAAACCCTACAAGACTTATATGATTATAATTATCATGTTTATTATGATACTAACATACATGACAATATTATGGATGCAGGATTATGGACAACGGACGACGACCAGAAATATTTACACCGGATCGATGACCCATTCTCATTAGAATGTTTTGAATTAGCGAGACATCATAGTTCAGTTGCATGTATCAGTTTAAGTTATTAAGTTATTATGTATTGAAGTTTGCTTTTAAATGCGAATTATACGTATCGAAAGGTTTAATTTTTCCAACTAATTATGTTAGATTTTCGCGGAAGGATTGGGCGCTGAACGATCGGGTAGGACAGAGAGTATTACATACTACTAAAGCTGGAATTTTCAATTATTTAAAGAGAGAACAGCTTGATAATAAGTTAAAAAGGATGAAAGCTATTGAAAAAGCTTCAGAATTAGAAAATTATAATTTAATAGATGAGTCCAATTTAATAGCGATGTATATATAGTTATAGCGACATTGTTCATTTTAGCTGTTGCTATATTCTTCTTTGAAAATATGATTAGTCTTTTCAGGTCCCGAAGGCGCAGTAAGGATTACTAGAAAGATTTGAGTTTACTAATGTAATAGTTACAGATTATTTTTTAATGAACGTGTATGATATTTGTATTTTAAAATTTCACTGTGATTTTGTAAACATTTTAAAATAATTGTAAAATTATTGTACTATTAGTAATGGAAATTTATTTATTTAATTAATGTATTATTGTTTATTATTAAGTAAATAAATTAAAGGTAACTTAGAAAAGATTGAACAATATATTTTTTAGTAAGTATTTTTATTTGTTTTTATGCTCTTTAAATAATCAAAATGTAATCAACATTCAATTTATCATAACATTACAATAATGATTATATTCGTTCTCCCTGTAGTATTACTAAACAGCAGAGCCATGGGGTCCAATCCGCCGTCCAAACGGTCTCTAGATGACGACGACTTCGGGCCCGTTTGCACGCCCTCTCTCGCCGGCACTGGGGTATTCTTCCCCTGTGCGGTAAACGATTTTTGAAAGTGTTGTGATATTTCCATATCGTTGTTTGTGTTGTTCATTTGGCACGACCCAGAGAGCACGTGTAGGGTGTAAAAGCAGAACCTACGGAGGCAAGCAACACTACCCTCCACGTGCGCGCGCATATGTGTGTGTGTGTGTGTGTGTGTGTGTGTGTGTGTGTGTGTGTGTGTGTGTGTGTGTGTGTGTGAACCGCTCATAATTTTTGAACGGATTGACCGATTTCATCGCAGTTGGCACCATTCGAAAGGGCTTGGCTGAACTTAGATTTTTAATACAAATTGGACCGATTCGGACCGGTAGATTTTGAGAAATCTCCAAAAAACCAAGAAAAACAATCTTTTTAAATGTGGTTTTTTTGGGAAAACTTTTAAACGGTTTTACCGATCGATTCAAAAAATTAATCAGCTTTGAACATCAAAAAACCACATTGATCGCTGCCAAGCTGTTAAAAATCAGTTGATTCGTTCGAGAGATATCGTGAACGAAAAAAAAACCGAAAAATGTGTTTTTTCGGAACTACTTCGAAATTCCTCGTTCGATCGATTCAAACTTGACGATTTTTCATGAGGCTGAAAAAACTGCGTTGAATACCGCCAACCGCGTGAAAATTTGTTGATTTATTCGAAAGTTATTTTAGAGTAATTCCGAAAAAACACTTTTTTCGGTTTTCTTTCGTCAGCGATAATTCACGAACGAATTAACCGATTTTGTTCGGACTGGCAGCGATCGACGTGGTTTTTTTTATGTTAAAAACTGATTAGTTGTTGGAATCGATCAGTCAAGCCGTTTAAAAGTTATTCCAAAAAAACCACATTTAAAAAAATATTTTTTCGTAGTTTTTTTGAGATTTCTCAAAATCTAAAGGTCAAATCGGTTCTAATTGTATTAAAAATTTAAGTTTAGTCAAGCCTTTTCGAAAGGCACCAACCGCGATGAAATCGGTCAAGCTGTTTCAAAGTTACGAGAGGTGTACATACATCCACATAAACACACACACACACACACACACACACACACACGGAGGGTAGCGTTGTTCGCGTCTGTAGATTCTGCTTTTACACCCTACATGTGCTCTCCGGGTAGTGCTAAATGAACAACACCAAACAACGATATGGAAATGTCAGAAGATATTCAAACATCGTTTACAGTACAGAGGATGGATACCTCAGTGCCGGCGACGGAAGGCGTGCAAACGGGCCTGAACTCGTCGTTATCAAGCGACCGTTACGACAGCCGGGTGGACCCCATGGCTCTGCTGTCTAGAAATGCTACAGGGAGTACGAAAACAGCCCAGATGGAGGAGAACGGACAGCTGAACAACGGTCCTTCAAAAAGTGAAGGACCTTTTGCTCCTGTCACAAACCAAACCTACCGAGAAAGAATAAACTCTGTACCGACTGTCACCAGCCAACAGAAAAATGGTTACGTCTATTGGTACGGCATATAGGCTTGCCAACAAATCATCAACGACAACAGCGTCAACGACTCAAACATCTCCGAGGCTGAGCAAAAAACCACAGTCACCTGTGGTCACTCCTAAGAAATTATCACAGCAAGGAGAGGGCAACAATAAGAAGAGGCCGCTGTCCACGCCCAGCCCCTCCTCAGAAATTGACAAGCCAGCACAGGAAAAGCCAGCCCGGGATGATACTTGGACTAAAGTGACTTGGCAAAAGAAAAAGAAGGATAGAGAACAGAACCCAGCGGCTCAATCTACCACGCCCAAAACCAGCTAAGCAATGATGGCTCCAAGAAACCGTGAAGGAAGAGGACGAGAACTAAAGCTGTGCTTGTCCAACCAGCTGAAGGGCGAACATACGCCGATCTCCTCAAGGAAATCAAGGCTAAGGTAAGCCCTATCGAGACGGGCGTAGACATAAAGTCTATTAAAAAGACGAAACATGGAGGCGTTCTCCTTGAAATGTCTCGAAAGACCGAGGACAGTAAGGCTTTCACCGATGCAGTAAAGTCAGCCACTGCAAACATCGGCACGGTCAAGACGCTAACACCAACAGCAACGATCGAGATCCTCGACCTGGATGAAATCTCTACCGAGAGCGAAGTCCGTGAAGCACTCAAACGTGAATTCACTGACAGCCTGGAGGTCAAACGGGTCAATTTGACAAAGCCCACACCACGAGGTAATCGAGCAGCCTTCTGCGAACTAGACGAGCCCAGTGCAATTAAGGCCCTTGACAAGGCCCGTATACGGATCGGTTTGGTGAACTGTCGTATACGCCCAGTAGTAAAAGTAACACGTCGTTTTAAATGTCTTGGTTATGGACACCACACACGTCAGTGTGCGGGACCAGACAGAAGCAAGTGCTGCTACAAATGTGGCGGAGAGAACCACAAGGCCGTAAACTGCACGGAGAAGCTAAAATGCTTCCTTTGTGCTTCGGACAAAGATGCCCAGGATAGTCTATGCCATATTTCTGGCACTGGAGCTTGCAAGGCATTCCGTAAAGCACTTGCAGAAGCCACGAGAGGTCAGAAATGACACGCATACTACAAGGCAACCTGAATAGGTGCGCCTTGGCGCAAAACCTGCTGCGCCGGCGTGTTTTTGAAGATAAAATTGACGTCTGCTTTATCTGCGAGCAATATCTAAACATCGAAGGTAAAACATGGTTCGCAGACAAAACGGGCACGGCAGCAATTTGGATTGTGAACACAAAGAACGTTACCGTCAACAACAGCGGAAGTGAAGCAGGTTTTGTCTGGATTCAAACCCCCACAACCTACTTATGAGCGTCTATCTCTCACCTAACGAAGGGATTAGTGTGTTCCGACAGAAACTGTCAAATATAGAAGATACGGTCACTAAGTTCGACGGTGAAGTTATCGTAGCCGGAGACTTCAACGCTAAATCAGCTGAGTGGGGCGCTGCTTTCTCCGATACCAGAGGAAACGAGGTCGCTGACGTCGCGGCTAGACTCGACCTCATAGTGCTGAACACCGGGAGCACAACAACCTTTAGAAGACCAGGGTACCAAGAATCCATTCTCGACATCTCATTGGCGACTCCAAGGACCGCCAACATGATCGAAGACTGGGTAGTATCCGAAGAATACAGTGGCAGTGATCACGAGTTCGTGACATTCAGCGTTGGATTGGGATTTGCTCCGGTTTCACAATGCGACGTTTCTAAGTGGAAGTGGAATGCCAAAAGGCTTGATCCAGAGGCATTGAAAGCTTCACTTGCACGAAGCTGGTCTATTCTGCAGAACAACCCGACTCCGGATACGTGCAGCGAGACGGAAAAGGCAGTGCTAAATACGATGAAGGAAATTGCTGCCGCATGTGACGCCTCTATGCCACGGCTGAAAAATCAGAGTTTCCACAGGCCGGCGTACTAGTGGTCAGCAGACATAGTAGAACTCCGGAAAAAATGCCACAAACTACGTCGGCTAGCAACGAGAGCTGCGAAACGCTCCCCCAATCAAGATCTACTTCTGAGCGAGTATAAGCAGGCCAAAAAGAACCTCAACCGGGCAATCAAAGCGAGCAAAGCGAAATTGTGGCAAGAGATCTGTAATGACCTTGATGATGACATCTGGGGTAAAGCCTACCAAATTGTCACCAAACGACTTGGAAAGGCTTCACCAGAAGCGCCGAAATCACCTGCTTTAATGAGCAGCATCGTAGCGGAGCTGTTCCCCAAACACCAACCAAGGGAAAAAAGACATTATGTGAAAAACAGTGTAATACTTTTCACAATCGAGGAGTTACAGGATGCAGCGAAGACCCTCAAGTCAGAAAAGGCACCCGGCCCTGATGGCATATCAGCATCGAAGACTGTAGCCCTGGAATATCCAGACATACTCCTGAACACCTACAAAGCATGCTTGGCAACTGGCACGTTTCCCGCGGTCTGGAAGCGGCAGAGATTGGTTCTGCTAGATAAAGGCAAAGGTGGCCCTGTAACACCCTCGTCGTTCAGACCACTCTGCATGTTGGACATTGCTGGGAAATTGCTGGGAAATTGCTCGAAAAGCTTATACAGGGAAGATTACGGAACGATATCGATCGTGCTGGAAGTTTTGCCGCAAACCAACATGGCTTCCGGAAAGGATGTTCAACAGTCGGCGCGATCCAGAAAGTCGTAGGGACAGCGAGAGATGCATGGACTGGTAGCCTTAAAGCTCGTAAAGTATGCATTCTCCTCACGCTAGATATCAAAAACGCATTTAACAGCGCAAATTGGGGAGACATTTTAGACGCTCTGGAGCACAAGTTTGACGTGGAGCCAGAAAATCTGGCACTAGTCGACAATTACCTTGACGATAGAAAGCTTATAGTTGAAACTACTGAAGGCCCACAAGAATACGCCATAACGGCTGGCGTGCCGCAAGGCTCAATAATGGGGCCTGATCTATGGAACGCAGACTACGACGAGCTTCTTGAAATCCCGTTGCCAGAACAAGTAGAGCTAACAGGCTTTGCAGACGACGTTGCAGCCACTATAGTGGCAGACAGCGTAGAAGAGGCCGAACTGCTAGTTCGGGAAACCATCGACACCGTCGA